TACGTGCACAACCTCATGAATAAGGGAAATAAGGCTAAAAGATGCATAAAATGGGTAGATCTATGGTTATCATGCAATATAACTCCAAAAAGGCAGTAGATCTGGGCTCTACAACACCCCAACATTCAGATCCATAGATATTTCGACTTAATAAGACGTTCATGCAAGTGTAAGGCTTGAAACAAGCACCAACTAGCTCTTAGGAGAGCCCTAATGGAAGTTTAAAGCATATAATAAGATGGAACTCCAAAAATACCTCAATAAACTCTGATTTGGCCTTGGATCTTTGCACTACAACCCTTCTCCTTGCTTCTTTCTTCTTCTCCTTCTTCACACCTTCACAAAGAGGGCACCAAAACACATATAAGCTCTTCAATGGAGGTTTGGGGCTCTATCACTGCGTTCTCAGGGTGAGGGAGGCGAGAATGGGGGCTATAAGGTGGTATAAATAGTGGGCAACCCGGGGATTTTAGGGTTTCACCCAGACAGATGGACTCGCCGAGTCGGGGATATGGACTCGTCGAGTCCCCGGCTGACGCGTGCCCTCAGACGCGACCCTACTCGGCGAGTCAGGCTAGAACTCGCCGAGTCCCTCTTGAAAAACTCACTATAATTACCAATAAATCAACATACCGGGAACGGGTCGTTACAGAGAGAGGGAGAGAGAGAGAGAGAGAATTACATTGAATTTTTTATTCTTACGATTTTGGATTGAGTCATACGATTTATAATGCTCTTCTTCATTGTTCTTCTTCTCCATTTCTTTTTTCTAGGTTCTTTCTTTACTTTGTTTCCTTCTTCTTCTCTAATTTCACGCATTTACTCTATTCTTATTACCTGTTATTACTATATTCATATTGAGATGTCATAAAAAATTAATCAATCTACTAGAGGAAAGGTATGTGCTAACGATTTTTGAATTTGTATTGCCCTCCAGAAACCAACCGTGGTCTCATAGATCATTCCCCCATATCTTAATAGGTCTTAGCATTCCTCTAAATTTAGCTACACGAAGTCATGGATACACTTCTTGAATCAATCATCTAAACTGAAATTAATTTATTAGTTAGATGCAGTGACCAAAATGCAAGATTTGTGAAAGTTCGTTATTATTTATTAGTGTTAACCTTTGGCAAATTATGGAACTAATATTATATTTTTGTTCATAACAAGGCTTTTTTTTTCTTTGTAATAATTTCTTTGATCGGAAGATATGTATATCTGATTAGGCGTAGCCTGAAAAATCATATTTTAATTATTATAAGGAAAAAATACTTCAGAAATTGACCAAATTACAATGTATGAGTTTGATGTTTATGGCTATGACAATGCACTTTAATTGTAATGATTATCAAATTTCTTTACAGAATTTAACGTTGCTGGTACATATAACAACTTATTGTTGCTTTTGGTTTTACATGACCAATATGAATAGTGTCATATGAGCCTCCATGGGAGTTGGTATACCGGACAAAGTCAATTCATAAAGCTACTACACAACATGTTTTAATCAATGAGTCGCATCATGTTGTGATAAAACAAATATCACGTAGATCATTTATGTTAAAAATTATCGTATTAAAACACCAAATTGCTATAATATAAATATTAAATATTTTTATTTAATAGGTCTGGTTCAAGAACTCAAAATGAATCTAACTAACATCTTTTATTAAAATTTCACCTAAAACAATACCATTTATTAATGTGATGTGTATTTAATTTATATTCTCCGCGTTTAACGCGGATCATAATCTAGTTTTAGTATAATCGGGGACTCGTGGTTTTAGAGCCGGATTTTGTTTGGGTAAGAAGATGTGCTATGAGAAATGTAAAGTTATTATATTATTGAGGTTTTGATTTTCTCACATTGGCCACAATGTTCTGAACAGATCAACAGAATGTCCATGATTTGCACTTTGAAACTTTTGCTATTCACTACTGAGATAAAAAAAAAAAAAAAAAAACAAAACAAAAAAAAAAAACAAAAAACAATAAATAAATAAATAATTCTTCACTGTTAATCCGTCGGCTATTAATTAGTTAAAATTACATAATAAAGTATATTAGTGTTTGGGTTTTATGAAGAAAAAAAATATAACTTTAATCAAGCTTGTTAAATAGTTTGTTTTTAGCCGCTTTACATACAAGATTCACAATATTAGGACATTTTGTAATTTTTTAACATTGGAAGTGTAAACTAAAAAAAGTTCTCTAATTAGTGGTTGAGTTTTATGAAGAAACAAATGAAAAAATATAACTTTAATGAAGCTTTTTAAATGTAATTCAAGAAGTGTATATTTAGAAAATTAACATGTCTAATTGAATCAAATTGCTCTTAGAAGAGTTGGATTCGGTGTTTTGACATTTATAAGAAAATTTGAAAAATATTTGATAACTTTCGTCAAGTTATATTTAGTGGTAAAAAGGGAATACAAGATTAAAATATAGAATGACTAGACAACTAGACATGTGGGTTTAAACATAGTTATGGCACCATTTCTGTAACTCGGTTATTGTCTTTTAAAGGAATTGAATGATAACATTCATGATCGTTTGTGGAAGTTTTTGTAATAAGAAATCTAAAGGGTCCTTTTTGGTCTATGAGTCTATCGATATTTTTTTTCTTCCCAAATAAGAAATAAAAGCCCTCCATCTTCGTCTCCGCCCCTTCCATTCCACTCCCTCAAAACATGAAAAATCAGATCTGCTGGTGAGCTGTTGGCTGTGACTATGTAGTCGGTGTCCTTTGGGGCGTCGTAGTGGTCGTCTTGGTCGGATGTACCGTTACGGTGGGTATCGGTCTCCATAAACTAGCGATAAACTCCACAACGGAGCCAACTGGCGGTGTTGTCAGTGTTTGTGTTAGCGGCTATCCTTCAAGTATCGACATACTGCTCCCGTCGAGGGACTGCATTAGTTAAACCGGGCTAGTTGTGTCACCTTCTTGCCGTTGCGGTCATTTGTTTGTCATTTCTAACGCCTGGTGGTGTTGCTGAGTGGGTTTTGTAGGACTGAGTGCAAGCTCGGATGGTACCAACTGTTGTGAAATGTCACTGGCTTAACTCCATCTTCCTAAGAGCGGGAATGAAGATCCTATGGATCACAACAAAGAAGATGAGACCGTTAGTCGTCTTCCGGGAGGTTTTCCCGGAACGAGGCTCTGACGATCAAGTCAGTGAGGGTTTCAGAGAGAGAGATAGAGGGTTAAAAGCATAACGATAGTGTCGAAGGGTTAAAGATCTTGACCTCTTCTCTTGGGGGAGAATAGTGCCTTTTATACGTGTGGATAGGGGGAACAGATCCCCCTGACAATATCTTCTACGTTTTCAGGTTTGGTAAGGGCTGATGGCTTTCGATTGGAGGATCGTGTTCCATGAGTGGTTGTTCTCTATTGGTGCAGACTTTACCAGAAGCGGCGTCTAGAGCACTATACATGTCAGAACTCTTAGTAGTATTTTGTCTTCAACGTTAGCATTGGCGCTTGGGCACCAAGGAATTGATACGGGCGAAGGCTCAGTGTTAATTATGCGTTGCTCCTTGGCCGATCCTTCTGTTATGGATTCCCAGTGAGATATGTCAACAGTCAACTGTATGTTGCTTTATCTAGAGTTAAAAGTAGAAAATGTTTAAAATTGTTAAGTTTAGATAAGGATCATAGAATCACAAATAAAACTCATAATGTTATGTATAAAGAAGTTTTTAGAAATTTATAAATACTTTATACAATATTTGTTTATTACAACCTATTTTGGTTTTTAAAAACACTTTATTGTTAATTTTGATTAGTAATTTGTTACATTTTTCATATATTTTTGTTTCAACAACTTAGTTTTTCTATTTTCCACACATCTATTTTAATTTACTTCACTTGTGGTTGTTGTTTTATTTTTTTATAATTATAATATAATTAATCTAATATTTAATCATACAATGTTTTTTTTGTCATTAAAATAAAATATAGCTTCAAAAATAATGTTACATATTTATTTAAATTAAAGATTATAATGAAAAACATAACTATTCTAATTAAGTTTTTATTTAAAATGATTGATTAACAATTATAAATTTTTATATAAAATTTTATTAAAAAAAAAAACCTAGTTATGTTATGAGTTATATTAATCCTACTTACGCCTGGTTTTTAAGAAGACGCCTGGAAAGTTAATTTTCACGTGGGCTTGTATCAGAAAGGAGCAGAAGAGAAAAAACCCATCCTGAGAATACCTAATTAGTTTGTGATGGGTGCATGGTGCCCTGCTTGTGGGTTTATCCTGGGTCCTGTGCAACTCCTTAAACTCTATGACATCCCTTATTGGGTCAGTTAAGCAGTTAATCTCCTTCGTAAACTTTGAGATATTACCGTTTCTTTATACAAAAAATCATTGATTTGAATCCAGGTTAGTCATGTGGCTCAATCTAGTAACTTACTTGCATCATCATGGCCATGATCATATACTCCCATGGCTCCGAGGGAAGGTTGCTTCTTAAACTTCTCACTTTTTCTCTGGCAGTTGTTCTTCATGGCCATGATTATAGAATACAATTTGACATGTTCATCTAAATGCCTTCCGATATATCCATGTCATCACTTCTGTCTTCCGTGGCATGTTATAGGAGAAAGGCCTTGTTATTGACTTATTGTTAGTTTTAAATAATCAACTAATTTAACCTCATTTATCTTAAATGGTTTATTAAACCCCCTCATCTAATTTGTTTTTTTAGCACACCGTGAAGTTCAAATTAACTAATTTATCCTCGTATGTTATCACAAACGTTCTCCAATATCTTCATTTTTATTATGTATTTTTAATAAAATACATAACTAGTCAAAACCCAATAAAAAATCTATGTGCCAATATGATTAGGGTGTAAAGTGAATTGTTATCAAATGTAGGGGGTAAAGTCTAAAAGACAACCAAAAAGAATAACCACTTACAGGTTTATAAGTGGTTGGAGTAACCTTCAAAAAAAGCAACGCTTGCTATTGGTAAAAAGCGTTTCAATGACTTTTACAAATAGTAAAAATTTATACAATAAGTCATCATTAGAGATGCTCTAATTATTGGTTTTGTTCAAATCCAATCAAGCATCCTCCTCATCAAAATATAATTGAGGGAGTAGATAGTCTGAGGCAATAGTAGTTTAATTATTGAAGTCCAAACTCTAAAGTAGCCTCTGTCCTTAAATCTATATCAAATCTGTAAATAGTGCGATGAAAGATGGTCAATCTTATTATTTAACATATACATTCCATATCCTTTGACATATTTATAAACCAAACAAGATTTTTCAAAATAATGGATTTCAATTGCATTCGAAATGCCAAACACATCACCTATTTCAAATTCTTCCAGTTCCACAAAAACTATCCTGCCATCCAAATTCCCCCATACCATAATCCTTGTTATTTCAGTTTTTCATCATATGATCTTTAACTTAGTGGCATATTTCGTGTTCAATCATGCAGGAGAACTTTTTGGTGTTAATTCACTCATCTAGTCATGTTTGTTTTCTAAAGATATTGTGATAGGAATCATAGAAACGTATCCTCTTTTTTGACCAAACAAAATTAAGACTATTGTGATAAGAATCATAAAATGATAAGAAATCTTATCCTCTTCTTTGACCAAACTAGTGGCTTCTGTATTCTTGATAAAACTATTGTTTTCTTTAGTATGGATGTTCATTCTTTCCTTGCAATCATTTCGCATAAACTTTCAACAGCAAAGATATTATTTATCGAATCCTTCAAGCGTACCTTCAATGGTGTCTTCTTCAACTTCATCCATTCAGAAGAGCTTTAAATATGATGTATTTATAAGTTTTAGAGGTTTAGATACTCGTAAGAACTTCGTTGATCATCTTTATCATGCTCTTAAGCACACAAGCATTTACACTTACAAGGACGACGAGAGGATCACGAGAGGGAAAAGGATCAGTGATGAGCTGATTGGATCCATTAAAGACTCAAAATTTCATATCATTGTTTTTTCCAAGAACTATGCTTCTTCGTCTTGGTGCCTCGATGAGCTTGTGAAGATAATGGAGTGTCACAAAACGAATGACCATACTGCCTACCCCATCTTCTATGATGTGGAACCCACGGAAGTCCGCAACCAAAGTGGGGCAGTTGGAGAAGCCTTTGTGAAACATGAAAAGGAAGAGGATGCGAGGAAATGGAGACAGGCTCTGAAAGAAGCAGCCGATCTGGCTGGGTGGGAGTTGAAAAACACTGCTGATGGGTAATTAGTTCCTTCATCATATGTGTGCAATATTATTTTATTTTGATTGGAAATAAATCCCCTACTTTCCCATCGATTTTGGCCAAGTTTTTGGTTTTAATAAACTCCAAATGTTATATTAAACATTACACTTTACACAACCACCAATCGGTCAGTTTCTGAAAAATCCCACTCAACAGTGGGTTTTACCCACTCGTGCCACCACAACCAATTTCTGTGTTGGTTTCCTCCAAAAATTTTGATCAAAATCAGGACTAAATAATTCCTAATCGGTTTCCAATCTCAATATTCTCTTAATGATTCAGCCCAAAGCAAAAAAGGAATTTCAACTTATTTATTGTCCATGGCATCTCGTGTTGTATTGTCAAGTTCTAACTTAAACTCGAGTCTTGTCTAAAGATTAAAGATGAAATATGATTAGACCACTATGCAATTTCTTCATACAAGTTTGTAGGTTATGTATAGATGTGAAAGATATTGTTAATGTGTGATTTTGAGTAAGCTAAATGAATCTTGTTTAAAATACAGGCATGAAGCTAGATTCATCAAAAAAATTGTCGAAGAGCTTTCACTAGAATTACGTTCCATCAACTTCAGCATTGATGAAAAATTAGTAGGCATGGAAATCCGGATCAAGGATGTCATGTCATGTTTAGCAACTGATATTGATGATGTTCGCATGATCGGGATTAAGGGGATGGGAGGTGGTGGGAAGACAACTTTGGCCAGAGCTGTTTTTGATCAAATATCCTTTCATTTCGAAGGTAAAAGCTTCATCGACAATGTTAGGGAAGTTTCAAATGCTTCTTTGTCCGGTTTGAAGTCTTTGCAAAGTCAAGTCCTTTCAGATGTCTTAAATGACCATTGTATCTCTATAACTAGTGTTCATGAAGGGAAAAACAAGATGAAGCAGATTATGCGTGATAGAAAGGTTCTTGTTGTACTAGATGATGTGGATCATATAGACCAACTTGACGCGTTAGCCGGTGAGCCTGATTGGTTTAAGGATGGAAGCAGAATTATCATCACAACAAGAGAAGAGCAAGTGTTGGTAGCACACAGGGTGAACGTGATTCAAAATGTCAATCTTTTATCGTATAAGGAAGCAATTTGCCTCTTCAGTAGATATGCATTTGGGAGAGAGATTCCAACTGAAGGATATGAAGAGCTATCAAGAGAAGTTGTTCGGTACGCTGCTGGACTTCCCTTAACGATTAGAGTTTTGGGTTCGTTTCTCTGTGGTAAAAGTGAGCTTGAATGGATAGATGCCCAAGAAAGATTAAAAACAATTCCATTAACAGAAACTATGAAAAAGTTAGAATTAAGCTATATCGGTCTAGATGAGGATTACAAAGAAATATTTTTGGATGTTGCATGCATACTGCAAGGTTGGCGAAAGGAAAATGCCATTGAATTCCTTGAAAGCTGTAGATTTCATGCTAGAAACGGTTTAAAAGTTCTTGAACAAAAATCTCTCATAAATACTACTCTTGATTTTGAGTATGTGAACATGCATGATCATATTAAAGAACTGGGGAGAAATATTGTTCGTCGTTCACACCCCGATAAACCTAACAAACATAGCCGATTGTGGATCAAAGATGAAATTGAAGATATATTGGTTAATGACTTGGTAAGGTTCAACTTTATTTGTAAGTTGGACGATATATACTGACACATTTTCATTTGTTATGACACAAGTTTCATGGTGAGTCTTTTAAATTACAGGGTACTAAAGCAACAAGACACATACGACTCTGGTCGGGGTCGCGGAAACTCAATCCAGAAACTGTTTTGAAGGGTCTTAGAATGACAACCGAACTTAGATCTCTTCATCTGTCTCTGAGATATTTTGATGCAAGTAGAAGTGGTTGTTTTAATTGTAATTGGAAATTTAATCATACCAGCCCATACCTTCCAAACACTTTACAATATCTGTTCTGGAACGGGTACCCTTTTAGGTCTTTACCAGAAACATTTCAAGCATATAATCTTGTTGGACTTAATTTGATGAGCAGCAGAATGGTACAACTCTGGGAAGGTGGAGCAAAAAAGGTATATATATATATACACACACACACACACACACACACACTGGGGAATCCACAACGGATCTCGGGGTATCCTGGGATGCCCCTCAAAAAAATTTTAGTAGTATAAATTTTTCCGAAAATTTTTGTTTATTTTGCGTTCCTTAATATAAATGTGTTTTGCGAAAAAATAACAAAAGCTCTAATTGGTTCAGTTGGTTATGACGATATGGTATTTTTCCGGAGGTTGTAAATTCGAATCTTGGGCTTGACATCAGTTTCTATCTTATATCCCTTCAATTTCTTTGTTATTTCTTATAATTCTAAAATTATCCCACATCGGCCATAAAATGAAACATAACCCCTATACATTTGTTATATAAGCAAGATAAGATTCTCAATTCTCAACAAGTTAAACCTTTGAATGGGTTTGGGTTTAAACCCGAAACTGAGTTTGGAAAACTGAAAAACCGAGAAACCGAACCCATTGGTTCGGGATACCCCTTTACGTTGACCCTGATAATGCTATAAATTAATTGCTTCGTAATTAAACAAATATTCATCTTTATTTTTTTGCTTATGTTAGGTTCTTAACAAGCTAAGATTCCTTCGCCTCAATTGCTTAAAGTTGAGGACACTTGACCTTGGGCTGGCTCCAAATCTCGAAACATTGACTGTTGGAGAATGCCGTGACTTGTTAGAACTTTACATGCCTGTTGCATGTCCGAAGCTTAAGTCCATCGACCTTTCTGGTACTAAGTTGAGGACCCTTGACCTTGGGCCGGCTCCAAATCTCAAGGTGTTGATTCTTAATGAATGCAGAGATTTAGTAGAACTTTACATTCCTCACGGATGTTTGAAGCTCGAAAACCTCAACTTCACGAGGTTAAAGTTGAGGATCCTTGAACTCGGGTCATCTCCAAATCTCGAGGCGTTGAGTCTTTATGAATGCAAAGATTTGATAGAATTTCACTTTCCTGACGGATGTGTAAAGCTCAAATACATCAACTTTACAAGGACAAAGTTAACATCCCTTGACCTTGGGCTGGCTTTGAATCTTGAGATATTGATTCTTGATGAATGTGAAGATTTGGTAGAACTTCACATGCCCAGTCGAAGTGTGAATCTCATATCCTTACTACTCAATAATTCGAAGTCGAGGACTCTTGACATTGGGTTGAGTCCAAATCTCGAGCACTTGAATCTTAATAATTGTTATCATCTGGAAGAACTTAACATGTCAGACGAATGTCAAAAGCTTACATCCCTCGAGATTAGACATTCAAAACTGAGGACACTTGACCTTCAGCTGACTCCAAATCTGAAGAAGTTAGACCTTAAAGAATGTCATAATTTGGTCATACATTCCCATTCCATTAAAGGTCTAGAAAAGCTTGTCTACTTGAACTTAACTGGTTGCTTGAGTTTTGGATCTTTTTTGTTTGAAACTACGGATTATGGTACTTCTTGTACTGTAGATGAATCACTTGAGGTGGGTCCTTTAGCTGAGCTACATCTTGTTGCTGAGTCCCTAGAAAGATGTCAATTTCATCCCGACAATAGTTTGCCAAAGTTTGAGTTTGCATGTTTTTATAAAGAAAATCGACACTTACTGACTGGAAATCTTGAAAAGCTAGTTTCGATAGGTCTGTGTGCTTGCACAAACCTTGAGACATTTTCACAAAGCATTTGTGGGTTACAACATTTAAGAAAGCTTATACTCAAAGGCAATATTCCAGAGGCACCCAGGGACCTTAACCAGTTAGAATGTTTGGAAGAGCTAACTTTGTTGTCTACAGATATTATCCGTCTTCCTGATAGCATTTGCATGTTGAAAAATTTGAAATCTCTCGAACTTATATCTTGTTGGTGTCTTGAGAAGTTACCTGAGGATTTTGGCCTATTAAAATGTTTAGAGGAGCTACATTTGTCATGTACAAAGATTAAACATCTTCCAGATAGCATTTGTATGTTGAAACATCTTAAATATCTTGAACTTGTTGAATGTTTGTTGCTTGAGAAGTTACCTGAAGATGTAGGCCGATTAGAATGTTTAGAGGAGCTGACTTTGTCATCTACAAAGATTGAATATCTTCCGGATAGCATTTGTATGTTGAAACATTTGGAATCTCTCGAACTTAATCATTGTTTGTTGCTTGAGAAATTACCTGAGGATCTTGGCCAATTAGAATGTTTAGAAAAGCTAAACCTAATGGAGTGCAAAATTTTACGAGGTATCCCAAATAGCATTTGTAAGATGATATGTTTAAAGGAGTTGGATCTACAAGGTACATGCATAAATTATCTTCCGAAGAGCATTCTTTTGTTGAAAGGTCTGCGTATTGTTGGGTCCAGAGGGCTTCTTCAGTCGTGTGGTTTTACATCCCAGATACAAATATCAGAAATCGAAAATTTCTGCTATGTAGAGGTGTGAATAACACCACCACCCACAACCGGATTCTCCTGCAACCAAGAACTATTGTAACAGGTACTTTCTCTGTTTTCAATTGCTCATCTTACTTCGATTAGAATTTGAAACTGATAAGGCATTTATTAAATTTTCAGCCAATAATCTAGCATTATATTTAAGCACAAGTTATAGGAGAATCAACGTTAAAGTTTTAATCTTGGTTTTACGGAGGCGTTATTAAAGTTAAAACCGACCTGACTTAGCAGTACCAAAATGCTGACATTTTTTTAGTGCAGTCACTTTTTGTGGCTGTGAATCAGCAAGTAGTATGCTTATTGTTCAAAGTCGACCAATAATTAAGGATGGTTGCTTACTAATTGTAATGTCTTGGATTGTGTCAATTTTTGGGTTTCGTAGGAATATAATTCATGTATATTTTATTACCAGTCTGGATCTAGATCAATGAAGAGGCAAGCAATGAAGTCTCGAAAGAGGTGCAAAAATACAATAAGGCAAGTTTGGACAGCAAGGTTAAAGCAGAGACTGAAATTATCAAAATATTTTTGGTTGTGTCGATGATGTCTTCAGTCACATCAGCCATAGATTAAGCGTATTGTATGATTTTCACAGTTGGGCTTTCAAAGTGCGTGATGTAATACTTTTGGAAAACAATTTGCGATTGTTGGGTTATCAATCTTTTGCAGCTAGCGGTGAAGCTCTTGCCACATGTCCATTCTCAGCATTCTTACGCATGTGACTTACGATTTTTTTTTTTAAATTGTGGCTGATATAATTATTTTTTGCACCTAATATAATGTCCGCATCTGAATAAATAACTGTTTTACCCTCTTGCATTAGTAAAAAACTAGCTTATAGCATTGGTTTTTGAAAACTGGGTTGTGTCGGTTTTCATTTTCTTGTCACTAAAGATCATAGACAAATTCACATGATTGTTTCCATAATATTTTACTAAAAAAGGAGTCACCATTGCAAAATTTTAAATCACATATGAATGTCCCTTTTAACATAAAAAGAAAAAGTCACAAGTAGGGCGATGACCTAAAACGGTGGTCAAATGTGGTCTTTTATAGCGGGTTTCAGGGGCGGAACACAAGCACTACATCTAGGGGGGCAAGATTAAGACTTTATAATTAAACTATATAAATAAGTTTTGTTTATTTCAAAATTATGACATATCAAAAGTTTAAACAAGAAAACTAATATAAAGATTGTTAAATCGTTTATCAAAGTGGAACACGACGATCTTTTGCTTTTTTAAAATCTTCTACAATTGTCTCTAAACTAATCTTTTCAGCAAGTTCTCTTTCGAAGTGCAAAACCAATGAGTCATTCAGAAACTCGTCTTCCATTTTATTTTGTAACCTTGTTTTAATGAGGTTCATTGCTGAAAATGATCTCTCTGTTGTGGCAGTAGAAACTAGAAGAGTAAGTATGAGACTAACTACTCGATAAATAAGATGAAAGTTTGCTACTCTTCTAGTCTTTATCAACCATTGACACAATTCGGACATAGATGCCAATAGTTTATAATCTGCATGTTGAACAACATCAATCCCATAATGTTGAAGCTGTATCTTCAAAACTGTCTTCTCTTGTTCATTGAAATCTTCAGGATAAAACTTATCTACTAACTTAATTATATCACCAATTTGAAAAGGCTCATCAACACTCTTAGGATCTAAAGTTGTTGAAAGTCGAAGCAACTCCGTTGAGCTATCGTTGAATCGATGATTTAGTTCCATTATTTGACAATTAATTGCTTCGTAAAATATATCCACTCGGTAATGATGTTCAAGTGTATGATCACTACGCTCGTTACGAGCTCGAGCCCCTCTACTAAAGTAGGGAGAAGACATATCCGGGATATCAATGTTGCGTTCCTAACAAAATGACTTAACAAGAGAGAGCAAACTATCCCATCTTTCATCTTTCATTTTTTGTAATAACAATTTGGTATATGCAACTAACCTCAATGCATTACAAATATCTTGAGTTTGTCTTTGTAAAGCTTGACAAAGTAAATAAGTGATCTCCATTATTTCTTTCTTGAGATGAAGAACAAAAATGAACTCGAATGTAGTAATAGCCTCATATGCTGAATCTGCGTCGTCTTTGATTGCACCAGTACCATCTTCAATAATTTTAAGTAAAACCTCGCAAGTTGGACTAAACATTTTGATTAAGCTCGAAACTGATTTGAGGTGAGAAGTCCATCTAGTATCACCAGCTCGTTGTAATGTGCCAATTTGATTAAGACCTCTACCTGTCTCTAGCTCATCAATAGAAACCTTGTATGCAATTTCCTCGGCTTGTGCATCTCTAATTTGGTCGGCACGCTTGGAGGAAGCACCAACAACATTGATAACAAAAGATAATCGAGTAAAAAACTTTTTTAATGCAACAACTCCTTGTGAAGCAACCATTAATGCTAATTGCAATTGATGGGCAAAACAATGAACATAATACGCATATGGACAATCATTTGAAATCAATGCTTGTAAACCCTTGAAATGACCTCGCATATTGCTTGCACCATCATATCCTTGGCCACGAATAAACTTAAGATCAAGATTGTTATGTGACATTACAGAATAAATTGCATTCTTAAGAGTTTGTGTTGTAGTGTCAGGTACATGAACAAGCCCAAAGAAACACTCCATAACAAATCCATCTTTATTTAAAAATCTCAAAGCAATTGACATTTGTTCTTTATTAGACTGATCACGTGCTTCATCAACAACTAAACAAAATTTCCCACCATCAATCTCCGCACAAATCATCCTCCTCACCCTAGTTGATATAAGGTTTAGAACCTCTTTTTGAATTGACGGTGATATATACGATGCATATTTAGGAGCGGTACGGAACAATTCTTCCATCTCCGTGTTAAAATCGCCAATTGCCTTCAACATTTGACGAAAATTTCCTTTGTTTATGGAATCTGGTCCTTCATCATGGCCTCTGTATGCAACTCCTTGAAAGGCACACCAACGTACTGCATAAATAGTAGCTTTCAGTCTTAATCTATTATTTTTACGCTCTTCTTCTGTAAATGTCTCAAACACATTTCGTATATCTTGTGCCTCGTTTAACAAATCATCACATGAGTTTTGTGCAACGTTGTGAAAAGATGTACACTCAGTCCCTATGTGATGCAAAAAAGCACAACTTTTTCCACCAACTTTCTTCCAATTCTGAAATCCATCGATAGTAAATGCTTGTTGGTCGTAGTGTCCCATTCCCGAAGGCTTGTTGAATAGAAAACATGGAAAACAAAACGCAGCATCTAAGCTCTCTGAATATTCAAGCCAATGATATAATTTAAACCAAGAAGCTTCAAAACTACGTTTATGGGTTTCTGGTCCCGATTTTGGATATACAACAAGTGTTTGTTGAAAGGGACCAAGATTAATATATGCTCGCCTAATAGTATCTCGCTGATTAACCGGATAATCATAAATTTGCTTACGCAAACCAGGATCTCTTTCTAATGTATTAAGATCAATTTCATTAATTTCAAGATGAGGTTTTTTGAAATGGTTATCAGTATTATGAACATCGGGTGTGGGGGCATCTTCATCCAAAACAATATCCGGCGGGTTTTCGGAATCTTGAGTAGAACTTGAGTGTTTTCTTTTAAAAACCCCATCAATAGTTCGTTGTTTTTTCATGTTGATATCTACCATACAACCAAATTTATTAACAATCAACAAAATATCAATATAAAATACTGATAAACATTTAAAGCTTTTATTTTAAAAAGATAATATAAACTACATATGATATAAATTACTTTCATATATACACGACAATTCATCAAAAATTGTATGCAAATTCAACTATTAAATATAATAAGTATAAAGTAATATATATGTATATATACTTTTGTATATCCTAATTCATAAGCTATGTACGAATATATGCAAACAAGTCAATAGTTACTTTAGAGTTAATAATAAACTAACAAATATAAAGTAGTGTATATAATATATATACTTTTACATATATTATTTTAATATATACCATATGTCAATAATGTCAGATGTGAGTAATCATAACTCATCATAAAGGCTCTCTGCAAAACTGCAATTCACAATTTCTACTTTACTGTTGCCTAGAAATTTAGTCCACTAGCAATAGAAAATCAATTAATAGATATATAAGGACAAACAAAGACACAGATCTATGTACCTCTTATAATGAGAAACGAGAATGAAGACCACCCTTAGCGGAGAGCACCCAAACGCACAACGGTCGACGGACGGCAGAGGCCAAGTTTCAACAGGCTCCGGTGATTGGCGAAGAGAAGAAAGGGCGTACGATACCAACGGCATGAACAATCCGGCGACCGGAAAACAGTACAAAACAGCAATGGTCTTAATAGTCGGTGATTTTCTTCCTGTGAGTTATGAGTATTCTGGTGGCGAGAATAAACTTTTGATTTAGGTTTAAACTTTTCAGTTTTTTTAACTCAAACATAGGTTAAATTGTTGTAATATTGATTATAACCGTGGGTTTTTATAGATTTTAATATATATTAAGTTTCCTTGTTTTATAGAATCCTAAATAAACAAAGTTGGTTTTGATTTCCTTTGTGATCTTCCGAAAATTTTGTTATCGGGCATTGCTATATATATATATATATATATATATATATATATATATATATATATATATATATATATATATATATATATATATATATATGATTTGGAAACCAGGGGGCCAAAGATGTCATTGTACTATTTTTTTTAACTTGAATTCATATGGATGAGTATATACAGTTATTAGAACACCTAAAAGCGGGGAGGCCATGGCCTCCCCTGGCCCTTAAGACGGTCCGCCACTAGCGGGTTTTGTTATTTTATATGTACCATTACTTTGTGATGGTTATTAAGCAAGACACAAGGTGTTGATGTTTCATTTTAAGTGATTAGATCTTACATTGAAATTTGTAACATGAAAAAATCCATCACAAGTCGTGCCACGGTCGAAAATTGTGGCCAATTGTCATCTTTTATAATGGGTTTTTTTATGTTATATGTATGTTTACCTTGTGTTGGGTATTAAGTGAGTGTAACGTTTCTCAACATTTTTTAGGATTTGGGTTGGAACTCGACGAGTTGGGGAGCTCCAACTCGTCGTTTAGGAATTTATTTGGCCGCAGAGTTTAAGGATCCAACTCGACGAGTTGACGACCAATGATGAAACCCTAATTTTAGGGTGTTGCACCCTATATAAAGGACTTAAGCCCTCTTGGTTGGCCTCCCTACTAGCCTCCCTGTCCAGAGAAACCCTAGATTCGTATTCCATCTTGCATCTTGAGTGTGGTGAGCTTAAAAGAGTGGTTTTTGGTGATTCTTGAAATGAGCTTGAAGGTGGGAAGCATCTAGCTTGAAGAAGGGGCTTTAGATCCAAAAATTCTTCCTCAAAGGCAACATTTTTTATGTATAAAGTCATCATCTTATCATGTATTCATCTAGATCTCCTTATTTGAAGTTTAAGCTTGATTTTGGGGTTTTGGTTGAGTTGTCCAAAAGATGTGGATTCCAGGGGTTGTCAAGCTAGATATGACCCCTTAATGACCTCTTGAAGCTTAAAGTTGCAAACTTTATTGGTCCCTATGTCCCATTCATACAGTATGTCCATTATGAAGTCATAAATGAGCCTTAGAGGGTATTTCTAGCATGCATGGACGTAAAGTTGGAAACTATCGCATGTTTTGCCTACCTTGGGATATCAAATATATGTTTTGGAACATTGAAGTGAGAGTTTAAGGGCTTAATGGGTCAAGACCCTCTTAAAAGGACATAGGATTTGAGTTTGAAGGTTTATGGATGGTCCTTGAGGGTA